TTTCTTCTCTATTTCAGTATTACAGATGAGAAGTACAATGTAAATTTAATTCTTCTTCAGTTTTAAGGAATTATTCTCTCTGGATGCTTGTCAGGTTTTTTTCTTTTTCTGTTTTAAGGTATAGGAATTGTAGTGTTTTTGGTTTGTTTGTTTGGTTGGTTGGTTGGTTTTTTTTTTGGCTTGGGCATCATTTGTCATTATCTTTGCTTGGATCTTGGAGAGCCCTGTGAGATTGTAATTCAATCCTGTCTTTAGTTCATGACATTTTTTTCTATATTACTTTAATTATTGCCTCTTCTGTCTTTTCTGCTTCCTCCTTCTGGAACTCTTCTTATGACTGTATGTTTGGTTTCCTTGATCCATTCAAGGCTCTTGTCTTTTCCCATGATGATTTTCACCTCTGTGTTTTTACTTGGTGCTTTGAGATTTCTTTCATTTTATCTTTTATGCTGCCAGTTAGCATGAGTCTTCTCCTTTATCTACTGAATTATTGAGCTTGAGAATATAAATATTTAAATTTTAGTTTTTAAACATTTTTTCTAGAAGTTATTTTTTATACTTGATTCTCCTGAAGTGGTCATACTGCTTTTGACCTCACTATTTCATCTTTCTCCTCCAGAAAATCTGGTAGATCTGCTTCTTCCTATTCCCTCCCACCCTTAAGTATGTCAGTTCTATGTGCATTTGGGTTGAGGTTGAGCTGGTAGGGACTTTAGGCTGTTGTAATTCTGTAAGTGATGAAAGGTACAGGCATCTCGATGTGCATAGTAGCAGCAGGAATATTATCTATTTCTTGTTTATACACCTAGAGGACTCTGCCTTCCTTCTGATCTCCTTACATTTTCCAGCCCTAAGAACAGACTGTCTTCCTATATTAAGTGCCTTCTGAGTCCTGGGAAGGCTGGCCATACTTGTGTGTAGTTATCTATATGCGAAACTCTTCTGGAATCTGGGCATGGTGGCACATGCACCTGTTGTCCCAGTTTCTTGGGAGAGTGAGGCAGAGGGATCACTTGAGTCCAGGAGTTTCAGGCTGTAGCATGTAGTGATCATGTGTGTGAATAGCTACTGCATTCCAGCCTGGGCAACATAGCAAGACCCCGTCTCTAAAAAAACAAACCAACTCTTTTGGGTCAAGCAGAGCAAACCCTGCACCAGTTATTTTTCTCAAGTTGCCCGTAAGCCCATGGCCACATTCTTCAGGCCACTGCCTGCTGACTCCTGAGCTGACTAGTTCAATAGAGGTAAATGGGGTGGGATTTGAAATTGAAGTGGGAAAGTTAAATCAAATTCAAGCCTTCTCCCAGCCCCAGAATTCTGAATTTTAACATTCCACTCGTAGTTTCAATTAGCAGTAATTGTGCCTTGCGTAAATCTCATTGGCTACGATACGGCCACTGCACAAAGCTCTTTGTAGTTTCAGATGGCATGTCTTCCCTCTGTGTTATTCATTGTGTGTTTAATGACATCATAGAGGAGATTTTTATTTTCAAATCTTATTTCAAATCTTTGACTATCATGGTTTTTCCTATCCCTATATATGCATAACCTCTTGGACCACACTACGATTTTTAGGAAGTGTCCTTGTAAAAGTGCAGTCTGAACAAATAAACTACTACGAGAGTTTATTAGTTTTGAGAAGTAAAACTGTTCTGAGAGAGTTTATTTGTCTGTATGCAAATTTCAGTGAACAAAATATGATGGATCTGAAAATCTTGCACAAGACAGAAGCCAGTTAAAATAGGACAGAAACCAAAAATAAGAGTGATAGCTAGCGGGAAGAAACAGGAGCCAAGAATCAGCTATGAGTTGTCAGTGGTTCTTAGAAGTTGACATGGAGATAACATGGAAACTGAAAGCCACATATAATCAGAAAACCTTCTTCTGGCCAGTAGTTGTGATTTTTTCCTTAAGTCCTCTACCTGAGTTGCTGACATGGAGTATTAGAAAAGATTAAACATTAAAGGCACTCGTTCTGTTCCAAAAAATTAAAACAAGGAAGCATTTAGTACAATCTGAATAGATGAGAGTAAATATTGTATCCTATAGTTACAAGTTGTGAAGTTAGTGCAAATATATGTATATTTTTTAAACAATCATTTGCCTTAAATGTTTGAGATTTGAATTTTGCACATGTGCTCTGTTAGATTGTTTGATATTCAGTTTGTTCTAATCAGCCTCAGGAAAAGAGATTTTGAATTATACAACATATGTAAACGTCACATTGAATGGTAATTAGTTTGTGCTGCTCAGTGGCACTTAATGCTGAGGTTAATGGTTCAGTGAAAAATTTAAAAAGCCAGTGACAAGACCCATATCTATATCTATTAGTCTATCTATAGATAGGTATAACTATAGATATCTATATACATATATAGAGATAGGCTGAAAATCAGTGAAAGCTTTTATTCTTTGTCAGTAATTTAATGCCTGGCTGTGTGTCTGAGTCAGTGTTTTTACATTTATTACATGTACAAATATGGAGACCGGTGACAATATATTTGAACTTTGACATTTGTCACAGGTACAGGCCAAATAAAATGCTGCCTTAAAAACTGCTCTCTCTCCTTCTAAATTTTATTTGTTTAAGACATTGTTATAGAATGTGTTTGTCCTCTTAACTTTGGTTCTCTTAGCATAAAGATTTTTGAGGTCGTAATTACAAAAAAGGAAGGAACAAGAATGGCTGGGTCATTTGCTTGTACCAAGATTTGTTGAGTGGGTAAAAAGGTAACAGTAGACATTAAATACCCAGACCAACATGGGAAGTAAAACTTTATAAGAAGATATATTTCTACAGTTTTGTACCTTGCATTATATGCATGTAATTAAAAAAGGAACTTAACTTTTTTATGACACAAGAAGCTGTGTCAGATACCAATGTGTACCCTGAATTTAAGAATTCCAGTTTGTTCTAAAGAAGGATTTTAAAAATAAATCATGAAAGGACCTATACAGAGGTTTTATTTTCCTCCTGGTACTGGAATGTTGCTGTTTTTTGAATACTTAACATTAGAAATATGTTGGTGGGTTAAAAATTCTATGCTTTAAAACTTACCTAAAAAATATGTGTAATACTTTATATAGGTTGAATATTAAACAGTGATACTTGAGTATTCTAGAGCCATTATTAGAATACTGATTGGAAATTGTCAAAATTCAGTGAGTCAACAAGCCAATTAAAAAAAAACTCAAGGATATTAGATTTCAAAATGTTCTTCCTTAATTTAATTTGTACATTATACTTTATTTTAATTATTTATGTATTGCTTAACATTACAGGAAATGTCATGTAATAGAATTTATAAAATAATGAAGTTTCAGTAATATGAATCCTATCTTTGGAATTTTGCTTTTAAATCTCAGATTATGATGTTTTCTAAGGAATTATCTAGTTTGATGCATAAAAACAAGTCTTTGCTTAGTAACTTCATCCATTTTATAATTTTGAAACCACTGACTTCAGAAAATAAATGGAATAATTGTGTTATATGTCATTTTGTGGTTGAGCAAATAAGACAAAAAATTTATTAAGAAACCAAAACATATATTTCTACTAATATCAAACAATTGTTATTTGAATATTACTTTGTGATGCTTATCCATATACCTATGTATTTTTTGTGTGTGTTGTTTTTGCATAGACCCAATAAATAGATTGCTCATTTTAGTGGAAAACATAGCTCCTGCTTACTATCTGTCTTGTGTCATGCTAGATATTGAAGGAATATAGGATTGATTTATATATCATTGGGCTGAAGTGGGTGAGTTAGAGGTGAAGACAGTAAGCAAGCCTGAAGATGTAAATTCTGGTTGAAAATTTGGACATTTATTTGTCTTTGGTTCCATTAGGAGGTGGAAGTAAGCAAGAAAGAGCTCTTCTTTTAGTATTGATGTGGATTTTTGCATGTCCAGGATCTACTCTGTTTCTTATTCTTACTATTAATGGTAGAGGTTCACAAGTATGGTAAGTATGGACTTAGATTTTGTTCCTAAACAGAAATATTATATATAGGTTTTACATTCTGATGTGTTTATATGAGTGGAAAAATTTATCACATTTCAAATGAAATAGCCAGCAACTACCTCTTTTCTCATAATCATAATATGGTAATTGCCAAATACCTTCTAGTGCATTTAATGGTTAGGTAAAATCTTTGTTCTATTAACTTCCTTTTATTTTTTTCCTAGTGGATGAGAGATATAGTTCTTAACTGATGAAATTTTAGACAGCATAAAAATAATTGCTTTTTGTTTAAAATTGAGAATTATTTTCTTTCCTTTTGGGGGTCTTATGATTTCTTATATTGCAAAGCCATTTGAAATTGAATATAATCTGACCTCACTATGTGAAGCTGGGCTATTTTTCTGCCTCCTTCTCAGTCTTGTTCTGTAGCTGAGTGTTGATCCCCAAATACAATCTGTGCTTTGCTCCTTGTCATTTAGTTTATTCTGGTCCCTGGTATCTAAGTACCTTTCCATTCCTTTCTTTCCAGTAATCGGCTGTACATGCTCCAGGACCAAATTCAGATGTTACTTCTTTATGAATTTTTGAATTATTCTTCTCCCCATGCTTCCAACAGAATTAAATAGTTCCCTTCTTTTGGTTGTCATGGCACTTTATAGATGGCTCTCACAACTATCAATCATAGATACATCGTAGTTATTAAGAGTGGGGGCTATGTGTTATTCATCCTTGAATCTTCTAGGATAAGCAGTTGTTAACATTTGTTGAATTGAAATGTTTTAAGACTCAATGCTTCAAATGATTAAGAAAACAGCTTGCCTCATTAAATTCTTTGATAACCTACTCCCACTGTCATTCTCTTATACACTATTCTCACCTGTTATATTGTGGTTTTTGGGTTATATTAAAATATTTTTGGTATTTTAGTGATAGCTTGAGAGCAATCAAAGAAGGATCATTTTATGTAGATCTCTTTTGACTCTTCATTGCTATTTAGTTTTGAGAGTTTCATTTTCTTCTCCCCTTTTTGCAGGACCCTAATAGGAGTATTCATACCAGCAGCAGCAGCAGCAGCAGCAGCAGTAGCAGCAGCAGCAGCAGCAGCAGCAGCAGCAGTAGCAGCAGCAGTAGCAGCAGCAGCAGCAGCAGCAGCAGCAGCAGTAGCAGCAGCAGCAGCAGCAGTAGTACCAGTTTTTCAAAGCCTCACAAATTAATGAAGGAGCACAAGGAAAAACCTTCTAAAGACTCCAGAGAACATAAAAGTGCCTTCAAAGAACCTTCCAGGGATCACAACAAATCTTCCAAAGAATCCTCTAAGAAACCCAAAGAAAATAAACCACTGAAAGACGAGAAAATAGTTCCTAAGATGGCCTTCAAGGAACCTAAACCCATGTCAAAAGAGCCAAAACCAGACAGTAACTTACTCACCATCACCAGTGGACAAGATAAGAAGGCTCCTAGTAAAAGGCCACCCATTTCAGATTCTGAAGAACTCTCAGCCAAAAAAAGGAAAAAGAGTAGCTCAGAGGCTTTATTTAAAAGTTTTTCTAGCGCACCACCACTGATACTCACTTGTTCTGCTGACAAAAAACAGATAAAAGATAAATCTCATGTCAAGATGGGAAAGGTCAAAATTGAAAGTGAGACATCAGAGAAGAAGAAATCAACTTTACCGCCATTTGATGACATTGTGGATCCCAATGATTCAGATGTGGAGGAGAATATATCCTCTAAATCTGATGTGAGTAGTTCTTACTGGCTTTCTTCCTTCCCCTTATTTTCAGATTTTATTTCAAATAGCTTCATAATAAAGAATGAGGGAAGAAAATGAATGCGGAACCATAGAATGGTAGCACATTGATAGGTCTAGCCTAGAAATGCGTTTCCTTAACTAATGGGAAGAAGGAAATGAAATCATTAAGGAATCTGCAGATTTTTAGGCTGTTATTTAAGTTGTAAAGGAAAGCTATTTCCATAGTGCAATAATGGGTCATTTGAATAGCAGCAGACAATTTAGGTGCTCATTAAAGCTTGGTATCTATCCTTTCCAATGATTGATGACTTCGGAAAATGAGAAGAATACAATAAAACTTGAATAAACGGGAAAATAAATTTAAAAGAGAAACTTAGAAAATATTAGGGCTAGGCCGGGCGTGGTAGCTCACACCTGTAATCCCAGCACTTTGGGAGGCTGAGGAGGGTGGATCACGAGGTCAAGAGATTGAGACCATGGTGAAACCCTGTCTTTACTAAAAAATACAAAAATTAGCTGGGCGTGGTGGCATGCACCTCTAGTCTCAGCTACTCAGGAGGCTGAGGCAGGAGAATTGCTTGAACCCGGGAGGCAGAGGTTGCGGTGAGCTGAGATTGTGCCCCTGCACTCCAGCCTGGTGCCTAGTGACACAGCAAGACTCTGTCTCAAGAAAAAAGGAAAAAAACTAGGGCTATAATGTTGATGTTTTGATCATTGGAATGAAGTAATGTGTTTACGTTGATAGAAGGCTGGTGATAGTATTTTTATTTTACCAGTTTTATTGAGGCAAATGATGTAACAATATACTACACATATTTAAAATGTATAATTTGATAAATTTTAACATTTGTGTGTATCTGTAAAACCAGGAAGTAGTATTTTGAAAAAAGAATAGTCTTTTTCTTCATTGTTTAGCCACTGATTTGGAAGTGGTAGGGTATGTGATCTTCACTAAGTTTTTCGTTAATGGGTGGAATTATCCTTTGTGGATGCCTAAAAGAGCATCTGACCTTCTAATAACTCTGAAAGATAGTTTTCGATATTGGGATTTAAACTTATAATTAGAGATTTTCAGCAGTGGAAGGGATTTTCAGATTATCTATTCTAATCTCTTACTGATGTAATAAATCTTACGCTTCTAGTGTCAGGGTTGTTACTAATTCAGAAATATTTGATAATGTTTTTGAAGAATAAACATTACTTTGAAGTTATCTCCTTACTTTCCTTTTGTTTTCCTGATGTTGCCCTTTTTCAGTTACTTATTGGTAATGATCAGTCCCAATAATCTCCTTACGTTAGCTTGACAGTATTTCTAGGCAATGGTCAAAGAAGCTATCTGGCTGAAAATTACTGGCAGTCTTAGAAAACTGTTCTTTCCGTCCCTTGGGTTGCCCACAGATGTCTCTAGTTTAAGTGCTGGCAAAGGCTGGGAGGCTTTAGTAGTAGGTTTCTTGTCCTGGGTTTGCACTGTTCTTGGTAGAAAGCCAGCCAGGGTCAGGACATGTTGCTGACACTGATTCCCAGTGGTCACTTACCCAGGAAGTCCCCAGACTTCCCTACTCTCTATAGCTAATGTTTAAATTTTAGTAGAAAATTGGATTAGGACAGTAGCATGTAAAATATTGGACGCTGGGAAAATTTGTTCCAGTATTTGGTAAAGGCTTTATAGTTATAGTTTGTGAAATGGATATGAGAGTTAAATGTGTTTGTTCTAATATCTCAACTATTTATTTTTCCTTCTTATTTTTCCTCTTAATTTGAAACTTATTCTGTTTTTTTTTTTTTTTTTTTGAGACGGAGTTTCACTCATGTTACCCAGGCTGGAGTGCAATGGCGCGATCTCAGCTCACTGCAACCTCCGCCTCCTGGGTCCAGGCAATTCTCCTGCCTCAGCCTCCTGAGTAGCTGGGATTACAGGCACGCACCACCATGCCCAGCTAATTTTTTGTATTTTTAGTAGAGACGGGGTTTCACCATGTTGACCAGGATGGTCTGGATCTCTTGACCTCGTGATCCACCCGCCTCGGCCTCCCAAAGTGCGGGGATTACAGGCTTGAGCCACCGCGCCCGGCCGAAACTTATTCTTAATGCAGATGTTACCTGGACCTTTTGTTGTATGTTAGACTTTTGTTTCAGATCACCTTGAGATGCTGTTGGGTTGTGATTAGTCTATCACTATTGTCAAATTTAGCAACTTTGTCTTTTTATATTCTGACATGTAGCAATTCTTCTAGAATAGAGGTTTTCAAATCATGAGTTGTGATTCACTAGTGAGCTATGAAATAAATTTAACATATCGCTAGCATTAAAAAAAAACAGACATTGTAATTAGTATGGGTAAGTAATGGCTTATGAAAATTTTATTTCAGAGAGGGTGTGTGTGTGTTTCTTGTAGTGGTCAAAATTTTGAAAGGCACCTTTTTAGAATGTTTGCTGATTTATGAGAAGACCAAATGGTGTTCATAAAGCCCTGTTGAAAGCTCTTTCTACATGAGACTGTCACAGATGATCTTCCTCTTTAGAATTTTGTTTATTATCCTTTTGTTTGCCTCTTGCTCCCTCCATATATATGATTTATAAAGTATGTCATTCTTTTAATAAAATCCTCATTCAATTTTGTGTATTTATTCAAAAGTATACCTTGAAAAGTCTTCTGGAATGAAGAGTTAGAATGGGAATACTTTACAGTAGGTAGTAAATTTTCAAAATGGTATATAACATATTAGAGCCACAAATCCAGTGGTTACAGTAGTAGTTTTTGTAATGTACTCTGCATAGCATTACAGAGAAAGCCTGTAAAGGCTTTCAGGTATTATTTGTATAAAACCCAACAACTGTGCTTTCCTTATTAGTCTTCTAGTACTAGTAATGCTTTTATTGTTGTTGCTATTGGTTTAATACTTGAAATGTAGGTAGTGTAACAGAAGAGAATTGACAAAAGTGGTGTCATATAAACCATGAACCCAAAGACCTTTCTATGAGCCAAGGAGGGTAAGAGAGAGTTGAAATTCCTTTTATCCAGTAGAAAAGATAGCCTTTGTTTAGACTGTCTTCTACCTGGCATCCTTCCTGCCAGCAAGACAAAAGGAACAGGGAGGGGACACTTATAATGGAGAGCACTAAGCTATGGACTGCTACAGACTGCTAGTGCTCACCATTACAAGTGTTCCCTTGGCCGGTAACTGACTTGGTAGCTTGGGGCACTTCAGGGAGCACTGTACACGTTGTCCTGATTGTGTGTCTGCCTCTGGGTAAGTGTGATTATATGACCTGATCTCTCTAAGGTCCTTTCCAGCTTTGTTATTTGAATATGAGCCAGATTTACATTCATTTGTGGGAGATGGGGTGGTAGATGATTGTAGATATCATGAGCAGAGATAATGGACTTAGGAAACAGAAAAAAGACACAAATAAATCAGAAGAGTTTGAAGAATGAGGAAGGCTGGGGAAAATGATTATTCGTCTAGTATGTCTATAAAGAAAACACCTCGGCTGGGTATGGTGGCTCACACCTGTAATCCCAGCACTTTGGGAGGCCGAAGCAGGTAGATTACAAGGTCAGGAATTCGAGACCAGCCTGACCAACATGGTAAAACCCCGTCTATACTAAAAATACAAAAATTAGCCAGGCGTGGTGGTACACGCCTGTAATCCCAGCTACTCAGGAGGCTGAGGCAGGAGAATCACTTGAACCCGGGAGGTGGAGGTTGCAGTGAGTGAGAGCTTGCCATTGCACTCCAGCCTGGGTGACAGAGCCAGACTCCGTCTCAAAAAAAAAAAACAAAACAAAAAAGAAAACATCTCACCTCAGTATAGGTTTATTGTAGTTTAAAAGATGAACATTTTAAAAAAAACCTTTTCTAGAATCAAATTCAATTCAGGTTTTATATAAAAATGTCAGTCATATTAAGATGGGTTGCAAAGCTTAGTTTGGGTCAGATTTTTATATACTTGGTATGTGAGAAGAGAGAAAGAATTTGGACATCTGTGGTTTCTATGCCTGACTGGTGTTTGAGGGATCAATCTCTTATTTTTTGATAAGTGAAAGGTAGGTGCATAGGTAACTAGAATTCTGCCATTTGGTGTCAGATAGCCTGTGTTTAAAATTTCAGTGCCACCAGTGATCTTGGGCAAATAATTTAACTTTCTCTGTTTCTAAGTTTCCTCTTTTGTAAGATGGAGATCATAATAGTATCTTCTTTGTAGGATTATTGTGAAAATTTAATAAATCAATCTGGGTAATGCACTTAACACACTAATAAAAAAAATGTTAGTTAGCTATTTGCTATGTATGATTTGACTTCTGGGAACCTATGTACCCTGTAGCTTTGAAAGGGTTTTTTTGTTATTCAAATATACTGCACAACTCTCGTGTCCTTTTTCAAGGGTGTGGGTTTATATGCTGCAGTACTTGGTACTTTAAGTCACTTTGTTTTGAATTTTGTCTTTTGTCACTTTGTTCTGAATTTTGTCTTCACAAAGGTCTATGGTCTTGATGTTGATATGCTTCTGTTGCATGATCAGTGTAAAAGTACAAGACAAAATGTCTAAATTTTAAGCTGAAAGGTAAACCAAAGTTTCTCAGATCTTTCAGCTTTTTAATTAAATGAGATAAAGGACAAGAACATACCAAGTACTGCACTGGGTAGACACTTTGTTTTTTCTTTTTCTTTTTTGCTGTTGATGTTAAAATATCCTAAGAAATGATTTGAGTTTCTGTTAATATAACTGAAAGAATAATTTTTAAATACATTTTGTGATTCTTGAAATGTTTCTCATAAAGAAATCTATACTGTCACATGAAAGTTTGTCAATAATTTTCCCCTACAGAGGAATTTGGTAGGGGCTGGGATAAGGTAGAGAGGCAGAAGGACTGTGTTACAGTGGCTGAACTTTTAGCAAATACAGAAAGCATGATAGAGGAATGTTTTTGTTAAGAATATTTTACATTCAAGAACTGAGGCTATTCCCGTTAGAGTACAGTGGTT